CCTATAAACAGCACCTTTCTGATTTGTTAAATTTTGTGATCAATTATTCATTCATCTATCCCACTGTAATATGGCATTCACTTGAGATTCTGATCTCAGTTCCATACCGGTTTGATTCGAATTCTCAAAAGTTGCGAGTAAACCCATCCATTCAGCTCGATATACATATTATTTGCCAATGTAGCTCACTATCAGTCATAAGCAAACGAAAACTAAATTTGTTATGCATATTTGAGAATGTAAATAATTCGATGAATGCCAATTTTCACCATTTGTTCTCTACTCCTTCACTGATAAATGAATCTGTGTTCTACTTTGCGAGTGAAGGTATTCCATTTTAAGCAAGATATCATCAACCGATAAAATCTCAACAACCGAACATACTTTGATTCGTTTTACAACTTCAGCTGACGTTACCGGCACATAAACACCACCGTACGATTCGCCACCAACATAGAACGGTCTGTTTTTGTATTCTGGGAATCGTTCATAAAACGCTTCCAGTGCGTCAACATTCCCAGACGCAGTCTGAGATGCACAGGCAGATTGAAACATTTTGCAGGAGTGTGCGATATGAGAGTGACGGTAAAGGTAAAAACATTGTTGAGGATCATCAACATTACTATCCTCATTATGCTGTCATCATTANTTATTCGGCTGAAATATTTGAACGACAGTGGACTGTTTGATTCAGTTTTATCTATGCTATATCACTGTCATGATTAAACGCATCAATGCCCTCCAGAAACAGTGTCAATGACAGTGATCTGCGCTTACTTCCGTCAAAGCATCGAAAAATCTGCGGAAAACGTTCATTGAATTGTCTGCGATATGTTGAACGCTTCTGCCGAAATCATTAAGAAAATTTTCGCGAAAACACAAACATCTTCGAAAACAAAATACTTCGAAAAGTAACGGTGCGTTCGAGCTTTTCAACGAACCTTTCAACATCACATTTCTCACCAAAAAGATGTGTTATGTATTAGACATCATCGCGTATTATATATCACTGATCTCACGAATACTCTTATCCTCGTTATCATTTCCATTATCAGTACTCTCAATATTATGGCTATTTATCCATGATATTTTGAACGTACAACCTTCACATATGTCTTGTCTTTTTACTTACCTCATCATCATTGAAAGTTACATGGCCTTTACCATATGAATAACCAACGTCACGCGGCCCTTCCAGATAAATGATATTCGCTGCCTGAAACGAAAAAAATGCAGTGCAAACACATAACTTATACTTCTTTTTTTT